TCGTCATTGGCTTTTCGTCGAGCTTCAGCTCTCATCCCTGAAGACAATGGTATATGACAGCATGTTGAATTACATACCATTGTCTGATTTGAGAGATATTATTTGTAAGGGATGGAGCGCTCATTTGGCTAAATACTTGGATGCGATTGATTATTGAACTAATTCTGGAAACAAGAAGCCAAAGAAGTTCAAAGTTACAATGATCAGAAACGAGACCGCGCCACAACAAACGTAGAGAGCCGGAGGGGATTGTGGTCCTCTCATATGCATATGCTTGGAACGTTTGACGATAGGAAGTAAATAGTTTCTACCTCCCACAGATAGAGATAGAGGTGCAGTAGGCTTGTGGTTTCGGTATTTTATGGCTAGAGCGATATATGCGAGACGCTTCCTACCTGCATCCGCGTGCTGAAAGTGTGCATAAACAATTGGTAAGTTTGAGCAAGTGTTGTTAGCATATATACTCTTTTTTGGTTTGAAAATGTTTGGTTAAGTACCTAGAATTCAATAATTTGTTGTTTGTTGGTTTTAGATGTGTAGAAAGTGTTGTTTGAGCAAATGTTTGGTTTCTACAGGTTAATCCCGAAGTGAGCTGTGTGAAATTGATGTATTTGTGCATAAATAATTGTCTGCATGAAATTGATGTATTTGTAAAAGTTGATTTGTAAAGTTGATTTGTTTAATTGATGAGGAAATAAGAATTATTTTTTGCTTGTTTAATTGATTTGTAAAAGTTGATTTGTAAAAGTTGATTTGTTTAATTGATGTGTAAATTATTCTTATTTTTTGCTTGTTTAATTGATTTGTAAAAGTTGATTTGTTGTTTTAAATTTCAATCTGCATTATGTTGAAGGCAAAAAAGACATGATGAAGGTACACTTTCGCAATGCGAAAGTTAAATTCGCAATGTGAAAGTCAAAATCGCAACGCGAAAGTCAAATTAGCGTTGCGATGGTTGCGAAAGTCAAATTCGCAACCCGAATGTCAAATTCGTGTTGCGATAGTCAAATTCACGTTGCGATTTCGCATTTCGAATTTGACTTTCGCAACAATCACAAAGCGTTTGACTTTCGCGTTGCGAATTTGACTTTCACAACAATCGCAACAAAAAATTTGATAAGTGATAACAACTGAACAGAACATAGCAATGTTCAAACTCCAGTTACTAATGAATGTCTAACTGAAATGTATGCATTCACACATAAAATACACATAATACAACGTTTGCATCTAAAAATCACCTAAGTTAATAAGTCCCAAAAGGTGAAGCCGATTGTGATTGAGATTTTGATTGCGATTTTGATTTTCTTTTGCTTGGCACCATATGAGCTTTGGATTTTGATGAGGATCCATATTTTGGTAGAGAAAAAGATGATTGTGATGGCACTGGTGATCCACAGGTCAACCTTGTATGACCACTTTCCTTGCACCAACTACATGTCGATATCCTCTTCTCTTCACCCTTAGACGGTATACGATCGTTAATTTTTGGTCGGCCAGGTAGCCTGCTATCCATGACTGGTGGCAAAACTGTTTGTAAGTCATCTGGTATGTCCCACTCAGAAGGATGTGGAATAGGGTAGACAATCTCGGCATAAGTCTGTCGATATACTTCTGTAGTATAGCAATCCATAGCGTATGCGCTTGAATCATCTTGGTTTAGATGAAGAGAAACTTTTATGACATGGCCACACGGATAACTAGATGTTTGTCATTTCATACAACTACACGTCTTTGCATTTAGATCGACAAGCCCATTTAAGTTATTATCCAATACTTCAAACAAAGTGTTTGAACATGGTTCAACTCTCCATGATGTTGACTTCACAACACGTTTCATTATCTTTTTTTCAGTCCATGGTGTAACACGATGTTCCAATGTTCCTGTAAATTTAAATAAATAATACTTAGTAAAATATATAATAAGTTACGAATTTAAAGAAATAATACCTATGGTTTCTTTTCTTGTAGTACCACTGTTGAATAGAGGCTCGAAAAAACTCCATTAACATAGTAATGGGTAATTTTCGGGAATGACGACTTAGAGCGTTGATTGATTCTGCACTATTAGACGTCATAAAACCATATCTTGCTCTAAGTTGATGTACTCTTGACCATCTTTCAAACCCGACATCTTCTAGTGTTTGAGAACATTGAGGCAAAACACGTCTTAAACAATTTATATGCTTACTAAAATCCATTTCCCGATAAGCTTTTACAGCCTTCCAGTATGTCCATTTGTGATTTTTTATACCAACAGACCTTGATTTTAGATTTCTGTACAAATAAACATCACAAAGTCCATGAAAAGCATCTAGGAAACACCTTCTAACAACGTTGTCAATTGAGTTTGCCCTATCGAATATGATTGTCAGATTGCTAATAGGATATATGTAATCCCTAAGATGCCCCATAAACCATGTCCATGAATAAGAGGTTTCAGATTTGCCAACCCCTTAAGGTATTGGCAGTATCTCATTGTTAGCATCCATGGCTACTTCTAATAAGTTTACTCCAAGGTATCGGCCTTTCAAATGTGCTCTGTCAACTATAATAACTGGGCGCATGCAAGTAATAAACGAACGAATCTATAAAATAATATACACAAGACATAATCATTTAAATGTGAAATGCATGTAACTAACAAAAATGAGTCAACAAAATTATATTGATTTACTAACCGCAGCACCAATGGCGATAAACAGCAACTCAAAGAGTCCATCTCTATCTGTTTTGATATGAGTTACCGACCTAGGATTTTTCAGCTTTAAATTGCGATAATAAGCCGGTAGTTTGGCAAACGATGCTTCTGGAGACCCCCTCAACAATTCCAAGGCATAACATTTGGCTCTCCAAGCTTGAGAATATGAGATACTAATATTGAACCGAGCATTCATGTCAGTCATAATTTCATGTCCCCGATATACCCTGCCATTCAAAAACATTATCTCAGCCGGAAAACCACCCAACACCTTTTTGTTTGCCTATCTATGGTGAGGAAAAACTTGGGTTCTTGAACATGTATGTTTATCAATAAAAGTCCTAACTTAAAACATTTCGCAATCTTTTATCCTCTTTGCAATCATACGCCATGTATAGTTTTTGTCAATCATACACTTTGTTTCGAAACGATCTTTGCTTGATTTATTAACTTTTAGTTGATAGTCATCTTCCACACATTTCGTATACAAAGCTATCTTCAAGTCTTCCTTTGTATCAAAACAATCATCTTTCTTGATACGAATAACTTTTGTGTAACAATCAACTGCTATCTTTACCAACTCTTATTTCGGTATCTGAAGTAATTATGGCATATTCAGTTATACTCTCGTGGTATTTTCTTCTTTTTCTTTTCTTCGGGGACTTCCTCTTTTTCTTTTTCTTATTCAGGGTTATATGAATTACAGAATGGATGTTCAACATGTTCATTCACAGTCGTAACTTCCTCCTCATTATTATCAACAACATCTTCCTCGGCAGCGGTTGTTTCATCATCAAAATTCGGGTATTGACCAATTTCAAAATCATTACACGCAGGGTCTGTTTCTTCTTCTGAAACATCATCAAAATCCGAGTATTGACCAAGATCAAAGTCCGGGGATTGACCAAGATCAAATTTTGAATACTGACTAGTACTCAAAAATTTTTCTGTTGGCTCATAATCGTCTAACTGATTAATACGAAAACCGGAATTTGGTGCTAAAAGTTTATTGGGATTTGGATTATGAAAAGGTTGCGGGTTTTGAGATTGTGTTTGGTATTGGAAATGTGGTGAAACAAAATTTTCTTGGTGATGAAATTGTGGTGGAACCATTAAATTTTGAGGTTGATAACAACATTGTACATTGTGAGCACCGTAAACTGGGGTTGAAGAACTTTGTTGATTACTACCCGCTACTGACCCAACTTCACTACTTCTAGGTTCAACAACATACAATGTAACATCATCTTCTTGCGAAACACTAATGTAAGCAATGAATCGTTCAACATCTTCATTGTCGGTTAACAAATAAACTTTACCTTTTCTCTGATAAGATAGCCTAAATCCACTTAGAGGCTCTAAATTCAATTTCATAAGTTAACTTTTTTAATGACAGTTTTAGTTGAAGATTCATGGGTAAAGACATATATTGTAAAACACCATGAACATTCTCCCATGACCCTCCAAAACACAAATCTATCCAAACATGATCAACATTAGAATATTTCATTCTACAAATTGTAAATTAATTTACTAAACAAACGAGCTATAAACTACATATCATCATTAACTTAGAAAAAAACATACCTTTATTAAGTTGATAGTTGATAATTTGGGAGATAAATCATTGAAAAATTATATAAAAATAAAATTATGTAAAAAATAATTAAAGATGGGGAAGGATGTCGTTGGATATAGGAACGGATGTCACCGGAAAGAGTGATAGATGGAGATGGAATGAGTTGCGATTTAGGGATTTAGGTTATGAGTTATTGCTGCTGCGTAGTTATATACCCAAAACATTTGTGTTGTGAAACTAAAACCTGATGCGAAATTAAAATTCGTGTTGCGAATTCGAAAATCGAGTTGCGAAAACAAAATTTGCGTTGCGAATTCAGAAATCAAGTTACGAATTTGGAAATCGAGTTGCGAATTTGACTTCTGTGTTGCGAATTTGACTTCTGTGTTGCGAATTTGGAAACTGAGTTGCGAAATTGGAGTTCGCGTTGCGAATTTGTTGGTCATTTTCGCAAATCCAAAAAAAGTTGATTAAAATCATATATTATAAGGCATTTTCGGTCACTGAAGTTATTTTTTCTTTTTTTAATTGAGGAAAGTCGGATAAATTTTTCTTTATTTATTTTTTAAAAATATATATTTTCCGAAATTAATACTCAAACAAAAATACAGTACACAAATAATGATTTGGACCACCGATTGAAGCCTCCTCCCCTATAACCTATCACTATGTGCATGTTCTCAATAACAAATCAACCATAAATAATGGAAAAGTAGAGCTTTATTTTGGTTTGGATCCGACTCCGGCATATCGGACACGTCCAGAGGTTCTCAGAACATTCTGTACAGGTCTGGGAGAACAAAAAAGAAAAAGAGGAGAATTATGTTAGCATCTTCGTCTATTATGTACACCAAGAACCGATGAGAACAAGTCTTTCGAGATGTTTACCAGATGTCCGCAACCGAAAGCCATGTCTTTCGAGTTAACACGGCAGATTGGACAAAGCTATTTAAAGCATTGGGCAACAGAAAATAAATATTAAGCCTCTGGATAAACAACAGATATGCAGATTATAATCTTAAGTCTTGGATCCTTTAGGCTTTCGGATCGGAAATCGAATGCTAAGGACATCTATTCTTAATAGAAGACGGAAGAATTATGTTAAATTTTTCGTACCAGTATATCACAAGTAGAACTCGGGGATGGAGTAGCTGAGCTGACGGAAGGACTATCCTCCGGATACTGCGGGGCACTTGGGGAAAAAGAAGTTAAACCGTTTGTAGGAGGAACTCTCCAGGGAATATTTCTGTTTCGATCACTGCACAAATAAATCGAACTTGAGTCCATGAAAGGGTAATACTTAATAAACCTTTAGAACAGACAACATGGGATGAATGTTTACCCCAGAATATTAAGCTCAATCGCTGCTTTGTAATGTGATTGAATCTTCATTAGAGCGGCTAGAGCAAACTCTTCCTTCTTCTGGGATGGGGATGTGTCCTCCGACAGAATCTTCGTAAGATCCACAAACTAGAGAAGAAGAAAAAAGAGAAAAATCTTAGTAAGTTAAGCATCATGATAATACCATTGGAACAAAAGACGGTAATATCGAACATGAAACTACTTGTACGAAACTTGAAATTTGATTCATGGGATGTATGGTTATCTCTAAGAATATGATTCTTGACACATTACTACAAGGGAAGTTAATGTACCTAAGATCACAATGTTTGGTTGAATGGTCTATGCCATTGTGCTTGTCTACCTTGTCGATCAGCATGTTGCTCTATTGAGAACGCCTGAGCTACTTCCCCCGGAATATATATATCTTTCAAATAAATGCAACCTGTAACTCTCTTTACCCGACCTAGAAAGAACTGGTCGGATCCAGAGAGTTTACATTGCAACTTGTCTCTCAAAAAAATCATATTTGATTCTAAAAATTTACATTTGAAATTTAATAAACATTTCTCAAGTTTATCACCATAATTTTATTTAAAACAATTGTATGAGGAAAATCCGATATAAATATAAATATTCGAAAGAGGTGCATAAACAATTTCAAAAACACGTGTAACGTCTAAAGTCCCATTTAAAAAAATAAAAATCCTAAAATATAAATTAAAGTCCGATGAAAGAAAAGTCGAATAAAATCATATTGAAATAATAGTTTTATCTGAATAAAGTATGTGACTCTCCAAGTACCAAATCATCTAAGTCTGAGTATCTAAGTGAGAAAGTGTAAGCTATTAAGCTTAGCATGACTTTAAAGCGCAACCAAACACACACGTCACATATTACAAATCATAATCATAATATTCACGGTATGAATGATATACAAGTATAAATACACTCAAACAATATATTGTCGAAGAGAATGTTCCCAGAACTACTCTCTATTAGAAATACTCTATTAGAACTACTCTCTATTAACACCATCTGAAGTGGAAGTCCGTCTCGAAAGGAGGAACCACTAATAATTCAAAGTGAATTCCAGTAAGGTGAATCCAATCATAAATCCCAATCCAATGACATGATAACAAATTGAATTTGAATTTTGATTTGATCTGAATATAAAAAATACATATACATATAATATCTGAATGCATCACATAAATTTTATATTTGACAGATCAACATGCATCACATAGCATTTTTCCGAATTGCATTTCAAATAATCAATTTCACAAAACATTCATGCTCACAATTCATCAAAATACATAACAATCAAACAACACATAAACAACTATAGCATTGGACAAAAACATACCTCAACAAAATAACTCTAATTACTACTGTCGTAATCGGTTTTCGCCCGTGTATGAATTTTTACTTGGCGGGAAAAGTAATGTGAATAAATAAATGATTTTTAATGAAATATTTTAGGAGTCGCCATCGGGCTTTTGGGTTAGGTAGGTCGAATACCTAAAAATCATAATTTAAAAGAGTTTTTAAGAAAACATCAGTTAAAAGATAAACTGGTTTGCGTTTAACCAAAAATTCATTATTTTTAATAATAAAAAGGGATTCATGGTCGGTTACGTTTGGGGAATGATTAGCACCCCCACAACACCCAAAATTGGTCCTTGTCGATTATAAATTGTCTCTAATAGTAGAATTTAAGAATTCATATATAAATTTAATTTATGATCCTATTATTTTGTATTTTAATCGGATAATTCTAAGAAATAAAAAGATATTAAATAATTTTTATAAATTATAAATAAAATATTTATTTATTTAAAACATCAGAAAATGACATCTAGTTGAATTAAGATTGTCATTTCTTAATATTTGAAAATAAATAAATATTTCAAATAATAATTTTTTCTAAGAAAATAATTTAAATAAAACAATATGTATTTTCTGGTTTTTATAAGTAAGATATTTATTTATTTTTAAAATACCAGAATAGGACATCTAGTTGCTTTAAGACTACCATTTTCTTTGATATTAAAAATAAATAAATATTATTATTTCAATAAATAAATATATATATATATATTACTAATATAATAATAAAATAATAATTAAAGTAATAATTTAAACATATCAAAAGTAATAATAAAAAAACAAAATAAAATTATAAATAAGAAATTAAAATTATAGCATCATATTTATAAATATATAAGTTTAAAATGTAAAAATAATAACACTTATGGTTAAAATGAAAATTATATAAAAATTAATGATCAAATTATAAAATATAAACAATTAATGTACATAATTAGAATTATCATGTAATATAGACATTAAGAGTGTAAATTAGCCATAATAAAATATTCGGGATTAAAATATAAAATATTAAAACTTAAAACTATAATTCAAAATATTAATATAATATAGACATTAATAATGCAATTTAACCTTAACCCTAAATGTATATATAAACATATATAATCAGTGGCGAGAATATAAATAAAATAAAATTGAAATACCAAATTAAAATATATATAAGTTGATTTTAGTGACCAAAATGGAAGTTTATAAACTTCGGGTGGCTGCTGAAAGGGTTTTACCCTTGAGGAAATTACACAGACACCCCTCCCCCAAAACGACGTCGTTTGGGGAAGGATATTTAAACCCAAAAACTGACCCCCTTGGGCCAGATTTCTTCATTTCTTCTCTCTAGTTCTCTCTCTAAGAGAGAACCTCTCTCGTCTCTCTCTATATTTCTCTCGTCAGAGAGAATCTGGTCCCGACCGATCGCCGTACTCCGACGTCAATCACCACCGCCGGCCACCGGCGGCCACCGACGGCGGTGGCCGGAATTACAAAATTTTCCCAAAATGTAGCCTCGTTTACCCTAAATCTAGATCCTAGGTTGTTTTAGCCTAAAATACTACCCAATAGCGTTGATCTACAATTATTTTACCTTTGACTTTTCGTTTTCAGCGGTTGGTGGAAGCTACGGTGAGTCTCTTTTCCTCTTTTTCTTTTTTTTCGTTTGTTGTTTGGTTGCTGTGGGTTCTGTTTTCTTCTCCTTTTTTTTGTTGTTCTCCCTTTTTTTTCTGTTTTGCAGGTGCAATGAGGCTTTATAGCCACCCTGGTACTAGCTTCGGACCGGTCACAAAGGTGACATTTCGGTGATTCACCATATCTATGGTGGTGACTCAACGTAGAGCTTCAACATGGGTGAGGCGTCGTGGCAACTACTGGAGTCTTCGGCGATGCATCGTGGCAGTGGAGCGTCGGCAACAGTTGGTGGCAGCAGAGGTAGCGGCCGCGTGGATGTTCTGGAAGCAGTGGCGGCTGGATGATAACCTAGGGTTATGAAACCCTAGGGCTTCATGCTGGACTCATCTGGGCCGTTAGATCACTCCAGATCCAACGGCTGATATTGGTTGGCGGCTGGGATGAGATGATGGAAACCCTAGTAGTTTAGGGTTCTACTGGGCTAGTTCTAGTTGAGATTGTAAACTGGGTCTGGGTTCTTGTAATTGGGCTTGTATTTTTTTTATTTAATAATAATAATATATAATAATAATAATAATAATAATATGATGAAAAAAATTAGTGTCTACAACTACACTATAGTAAGTAACGAAATAAAATTGAATTAGTTTTTTCTTTAAAACTCGAGATCAGCTAACCCAAATCGACTCACAGTTAACTGGTAAAGGCGAAGGACGACAATTTCGTTTCCGGTTCGATGTCTCCTGCCAAAAAATTCAACGTTCGACTCATATCACAAATCACTAATTTTTTTTAATATCGTAATATCTAAATCGGTATATTAAAATTAATCCAGCTCGAAACGCGAGAACCAGGCAGTAGACTACTGGTTAAAACCATGGTAGCAGCCTATACCAGTCCACCAGGGCTGTAGGCGACGAGGCCACAATAGCTGCTGCGGTCGAAGGGGACGGTGGTGCTCACGGCAGCAGCCATGGAGGCTTCCGACGGCTAAAAGACAACAACCCCCACTAAATGGGTAAACTACTAGGTTAGTCCCTAACTTCCCTAGGGTTTATGGAAATGGCTAAAAAATTTGCTTTATTTGTAAAAATGTCACCAAAATTTATGTCAATTCAATTTAAAATCAACTTAGGGAATTAACGAGAAAATCTGAATTTCTAGGGTTTTTAATTTGGGGAAAATTTGGGGTGTTACACTACCTTCGGATATACTTTCCCTATCAACAAAGTTATTGAGTTAATCGATTGACAAAATCGGCCAAGAGGGGGTGAATTGGCAATTAAAAATTTGGTGGAAGCTTTTACAGAAAATTGAAAGTAATTGCACAGCGATTTAGAGTGGTTCGAATTTCTCAACCAGAGTCTACGTCCACTACCTTAGCTATCCTCTTCATCAGAACCTTCTTCATCGCTCCATGTAGCCACATGAGCCTTGTGCTTATTCTTTGATTGACCAATTCTCTTCAATTGTGGGCAATCATATTTGACATGCCTCGGCTTTTTGCATTCATAGCAAATGATCAGGTCATTCTCTTTTGGTTCATTTTTTAGGCCTTCATTTCGTTTGAATTTTCTTCCTCGGTAAGGTCTCATCATTTTTCTGAACCGTTTGGCAAACAATGTCATTTCCTCGTCATCGTCATGTTCATTCGAATCACTCTCATCTTTTGTGGATTTGAGAGCAACTCCAATGTTTTTCTTCTTCAACTTCTCCTTTGGTGTCTCATCAATCTTATCGAGGTCCACCTCATCTTCAAGCATCATTTCATGAGTGAGGAGGAAACCGATTAGTTCTTCAATAGTTAAGGACGTTAGGTCCTTAGACTCGATGATTGCCGTCTTCTTTGATTGCCATGATTTTGGAAGGGAGTAAATTAACTTCCTCAAAAGCTTTTCATTTGAAATGATCTCTCCATATGATTTGAGACCACTGACAATCGTTGAAAATCTATCTGTCATAGCTTTGATATCTTCATTTGGTTTCATCCTAAAATTTTTATAGCTATGCGTTAGAATACTAATTTTAGATTTTTTTACCTCATCGATACCTTCATGAGTGACTTAAAACTTGTCCCATATTTCTTTGACGATTGTACAAGATGAAACTCTTCCGTATTCATCTGGTCCAAGAGCACAAAATATGATATAAATGGCTTTAGAGTTGAGCTGGAACAATCTTGTCTCTCCTTCACTCCATATTCTTAGATGAGTAAGAGGCTTGATATATTCGTCTTCTACAACATTCCATGCTCTCATGTCACTTGCTTGAATGAAGTACATCATCCTATTTTTCCAATAGGCATAGTTAGCCTCATTGAAGAAAGGAGGCTTGTTGACGGGCATCGAATCGAGACTGGAGTCA